TGGCGCAGCATCTTCAAGTCTCCCTTTACTCCATCCTACGTCACCTTCTCCTCTAGCAGAATCTCCTTCCTCCTCCCTCTTGCGAGGACACCTGTGATTACATTTGGGGCTTGCCCAGATAATCCAGGATAATCTCCCCATCTCAAGAGCTATGACTTAATCACACCTGTGGAGTCCCTTATCACATAAGGTTCCAGGAATCAGGACCGGGGTATTTTGGGGGGCCATTCAGTCAACCGTAGCTTGACTTGGGCCAGTCATTTACATGCCCGAGCCTCAGTCTCCCCATTTGTAAAATGTAGTCAGTAATACTGCCTCGCAGGTGCCATCACAGGATACAGGCTTTACTTAAACTGCCCACCATAGTGCAGAGCATGGCAGAGCCTCCGGAGCTACTGCTGAGAGTACTATGTTGTTGTGAGAGTGCAAAGTCTGGGTCGGCAGCTCAGCAGCACCCAGGCTGCAGAAATTCTGCTCAGAAGTGGAATCCTCTGTTTGTCCCCACGGCTCCAGCTTGGGCTGCGCATGGGAAGCATCTGGGGACTTTTAAACAATACCGATGTCTGGGTCCCACCTCTGCTATTCCACCGTCACTGCTCTAGCAGGGTCTGGACATTGCGATCTTTAGAAGTTCCCATGATTCTCAGCTGAGCCCCTGTTTTGTGCCCAGGTTGGGGTCATTGGGAATGACTGCTGCTTCTCTGCTTGTGTGGGACCCTGGGGTCTTAGGACTACCTGGGTGTCCTGTTGGTCAACGTGAAGGTGCTGCCTCTTTGGTGACTAGACTGGCCGGCCCATGAGCGTCTTCTCTGCTGGGTGGCTGCAGTGTTGTGCTAGAATTGCATTTTATCGAGGGCTCGCTGCTTCCCCCTGTGTACCCAGCAGGGGGTCTCCACTGCAATGCAGGTGCTGGGCTGGCAGCCCCCATGTGTGGTCAAGCAGGCCGGGAACCCGGGGCTGTCTCAGTCTTAGACCCAGGCTAGTTTGTCTCTTGACCAAAGTATTTTCCAGTTGGGCTCTCCAGGATGTCATGGTGTGTCATTGCAGAGAAGGCATAAAGGACACTCCGTGGGCCTGGGAAACACATGTGTCTGAATCAGTAATTTCACCCCTTGTTATGGGATCTTCCTAATTATCTTGTGGGGGGATGAAGGAGGTTTATGAAAATCTCCAAACTGGGACAAACTTTTATTCCCTTAAATAGGAAAAAAAGATGGTGCCTGCATGTGCAATTGGTGTTCAGAGAGAGGCTGGGGTGTTCCAGAGCCTTCCTGGAGGCAGTGGGCCTGGCCAGGGTTTCGAGGGGCTGGGAGAAGCAAAGGCAGCTCTGTCCTCCTGGGGAACAGGGATAATGGCGGGGAGGGAACGTCTTTGGGGCAGTGAGCCCCTGATGTCACTCTGGTGTTAGGGCTGCGTTAGTTCCCCGTCTGCTGTAACACAGCACCACAAACTGGGGCTTAGAACAACAGAAATTTCCTCTCCCAGCCCTGGAGGCCAGAAGTCCGAAATCAGGGTGGGTGTCGGTGGGCCGCACTCCCTCTGAAACCGCTGGGAGGGTCCTTCCTGCCTCGTCCTGGTTTCCGGGAGTTGCTGGGGATCTTTGGTGCCGCCTGGCCTGCAGCTGCCACCCTCCAGTCTTCCCTCTTCACGTGGCATCCCCCATGTGCGTGTCTTGTGTCCAACTGTCCCCCCCTTTTTAAATAAGGACATCACTCAGATTGGATTAGGGCCCAATCTAATGACCTCATCTTAACTTGATTAAATCTGCAAAGATCTTATTTCCAAATAAGGTCACATTCACAGGTACTGGGAGCTAGACTTTGACATATTTTTTGAGGGGGACACAATTCAACCCCTAACAGAGGCCTGGCATGTGGGGCTGCCCGCAGTGTCTTGTCATGCTCTTGATAAACATGTAAGGGCGCGAGGCACTGTCCTCCACTTCAGAGACAAGGTATGGGCCAGGGAGGCCAGGTGACCTGCTCAAGCTCTTGCAGCTTACAGAGCCAGGATTCAACTCTGAGCCAGTTGTGGGTCTTTCTGGAAAGGCCTGGGGCTCTCTCCTCTGGCCACGACAACTGCAGGGTGGTGCCGTGCCATGTAGTGAGTTTGCAGACCCCGAGGTCGAGGAGAGGCCAGCCCCCGGGTCTGCAGTGGCTTGAGAGCAGGAGAGAGGACGGGCCACCAGGGAAGGGCTTCGCCTGCCCACACTGCCTGCTGACACTCCGTGGATTCATTTCTTTGCCCTTCTCCTTTGGACGATTCCAAGGACTGTCATGTTCTCATTTCTCAGTTCTGTGAGCTCCTCCGCCTTTAGGCCCGGGAGTCCTGGATGAAAGGCCCAGGCCAGGTTCCAGAGGACACCCCCGAGGAAGTGGTTTCCCCACAGCCCTGCGGAGAAAGCTGGGGGTTATTTTTAAACCTAAACAGATGGGGTTCCATGAACCAAACTCTGATGTGGCTTCCAAATGGAAGGGACAAGCCTAATGGATGCCTCATCCCTCCAAGGACTTAGAGACTTCCAACAAGGCCTCTTCTGTGTGTGCTACGAACCTCTTCTCAGAATAAAATATAAAGGGTTACGAAGGAGGCCAGCGGTATGGAAGCCAGTCTCCCCACGGGCCACCTGCATGAGGCAGCCCTGCTGGTGTGGGCTGTGGAGAGAGGCAGGTGGCTGGGTTCCTAGTGGGATGGATCCAGGTGGCAGTGGCCTGGGACAGAGCAGCCAGCACAGAGCAGGCTGTGTGGCCTGGTTGAGAGCCCAGCTGTGCCACCTGCCAGCTGTGTGACCCTGGGCCAGCGAGGGAACGATGGTGGTGACCGTGTAGCCACAGGAGCAAGCACTTCTGCGGTGTTCAGCACGCCAGGCACCGGCCTCCACATCCTGGGACTGCACTGACTGCGTGGGCTTCGCAGCAGCCCTGGGGGTGGCACCTCACTGCCCACTTCCAGGCAGGGCCTGTGCTCCGACCCTGCCCACCAGCCTCTCCTGAGGGCCAGGCATTGTCAGGGCTGTGACTGTGGCTGACATGTTCTGCCTGGGCGCGGTCCTGCTGCTTCCCCCGGCTGCCGTGAGCTCCTCATTTCTCCTGCAAACTCCAGCTTCCTTCATCCCCAGGCTCCACACTCAGCTGCCGCAGGACCAGGTGGTTGTGTGCTCGCCCATGTGCCATAGCCACTGTTGGGACCTGGATGGTGCCATTCCCCATGGGCACTGTGGCCCTGGACAGCTGCCCTGGCTCTGTCCTCTGTGCCCTGTGTCAGGCACAGGCAGTGTAGGTTGTCCAGACAGACTGGCATTTCTCTGGCCCCTAGAGAGGGTGATGGCCCCGAGCAGGGCTGGTCGACTTGGAGGGGGGACAGTCCCAGTGAGAGGTCATGGAGGCTGGGTTGGGGTAGGAGCCACAGGAAGGGAAAGGGGGTGGGGACTTAGAGATGAGTAGGAAGGGTCTCCTCAGAGTGATGTGGAGAGTTCTTGCTGGCCGGGGGGTCTGAGGGGTCTTCCTCTGGGTGAGGCGGCACAGGAGACTTGTTCTAGCTGAGCTGTGGTGAGTGTGAGCTGGGGGAGAGGGGAGGGTTAGAGATGGGGACTCGGCAGCTAGCCGTGGTGTGGCAGGTGGATGGATGGCTGTGGGGGGTTGGGGAAGGGAGAGAGCAGCGGGCTGGGGTCACAGGAGTCTTGAGGCTGCCCCTGTCCTGCCCTGGAGAGTGTGGTGAGTGCCCAGAGGACCAGCTGAGTCTCGGGACACAGCGGCAGGACACTGACATATGTGCCCCTGGACGGCAGGCCCCAGTTGGGGGCGCAGCACCCCTGGGTAGGGCCAGACTGCTGGCCCTGTGATAAGGGTTCCCTGTAGCCAAGATGCAGGCTCAGGGACAATTCCAGACACTGGAAATGAAGAGCCCTGGGACATGGAGGCAGGGGACTAGCTGCAGTGACTATTAGGACTCTGCGGGCATTTGCAGCCTCACAGCAACTCACACGGATGTGGTGGAGTTATCGTCCCATGTCGTAAGCAAGGGGACTGCGGCTCAGGCTTCCAGAGTGGTGCTGCTGGTGAGCTGCAGAGCTGCAGGCGAACTCACGCCAGAGCACCCAGCTGGGGCGCCTGGGAGGGTAGGGAGGGAGCGAGCGGCCCTGTGCGTGTTCAGACCGTTTGTGGAGCCCTCGCCACGTGCTGGCACTAGTGCCTCGGTCCCCTCTCCACCTGTCCGGGGAGCCCCACAGCTATCCCTCCGTGTACCTGGGCTGGGGGAGGGCTACCTACACGCCCTTTTAGCCTCATGACATGCTCTTGCCCCTGCCAGGATCCCCGGCAGCTGGTGAGCACCTGGCAGGTCCCAGCCTCCAGCTGGGGCAGGGGCTGCCGCCGCCGTGCCAGCTGTCACACGCCATCCTGAGTTCACCTGTGAACAGTGGCCCGCTGGTCTGGGTGAAGAAAACTGATGCATGTAGTGCCCTGTCCTCGTGGATACGAACCAAGCGCACCGGGAACTGGGGGGAAGGGTGGAGCTGTCTCCTGCTCAGCTGGTCCCAGCGCAAGGGCAGGCTGGTGTTGTGTGGCACTGCATCCCAGCACCACACACCAGGGCTTGGGAGACACTGGTGGCACAGATGCCTCGCTCGTGGCTGAGGCACCAGCTCGGTGACAGGCGCAGTTGGAGCGGCAGTGGCCCCACTTCTCAGCCAGGTGCGCGAGTGAGCTGCCCGGCCAGCACTGAGACTTTGTCACGCCCGTGCCTCCAGCTCTCTACATGGGGCCTCGAATACCAAAAGTAATTAAAAATGAAGGTGACATATGGATATGGTGAAAAATTAAAATGTCACAAACACTTGTCCAGTGAAAAGTGATTCTCCTGACCTTCTGTCCCCAGCTGCCCCCACAGGCTGTGCCTCCTTGCAGTGACAGTCTCTGTGTGCACAGGTGCGTGTCTGTGCGTGTGCCTGTCTGTCTGCTGCCTCCCCAGCCACCCCTGATGGCCCCTGCCTCTGCCCACAGGTCTCCGTGCTGGTCCTGTTTGCCCTGGCCTTCCTCACCTGTGTCGTCTTCCTGGTCGTCTACAAGGTGTACAAGTATGACCGCGCATGCCCCGATGGGTTCGTCCTCAAGGTAAAGCTCCACCCCGCTGGCAACCCTGGGCCCTTTGCACCCTTCTCTCCCTTGAGCTCTTGGGCTCCTGCCGTCTCTCCAGCTGGCCCAGGGACAGGCACTGGAGCAGCAGTGCTCTGTAGCCGGTGACTGGAGGATCCTGCAGAAGGCCCAGCCTGGGGACAGGGCGGGCAGGCAGAGGGCACAGTGGGACCAGTAGGAAGGACACTCCTGGACTCACCCCCGGGAACTGGCCCCAGCAGTGTCAGGAGGGCCCTCTGGAAGGCAGGTCCAGCCAGGGGCTGTGTGGGATACGCCCAGGGTGACATTCCCCTCCCAGCGCGTTGCTCCAGGGAGGGAGGGGGAAAGGGCCAGTGGCCACATGAGAGAGAGAGGACACACTAGGGGAAGCTGAGGCCCAGACAGGAAGGCCGTGCCCAAGGCCTCACAGGGACTGGGGACCAGGGCGGGGGCTTGTAACCAGCCCTTGGGGCCACGGGTCCCTCCTCTGACTGCTCCAGTGGGGGAGCTGTGCTGGCGGCTGGGCTTTCTGCACCCATGGAAATGCTCACTTTGCTCATATGATGTCTTGTTCCCAAAAGCCCGCAGCGGCCCAGACGCTTACACGCAGGACAACAGGAGTAAGGAGAGGAAAGCAGAGGGCGGGCGGATAAGGCGGGGAGGAAGTGTGACGCGCCAGCCGTGGGCGCCGTCTCCTGCACCGTTGGTGCTGGTTCTGAACTCCCCAGATCCAGTGTGAAACGCCCACCTCCAGGATGTGGCACTGCTGAAAACCAAATAAGGCAATTTTTTCAAAAAGAACAGCCACCTGTTTTTGGTAGAAGCACATGCACATGCAAGCTGGGCTCGGCGACCGTCACTGGGTGGTTCGGGCTTGGCTTGTGTTTTTGCCAGTGTGAGGACGCAGAGCCTTCCACAGTGAGCAGGAAAGTGCAGTTGCCTTTCCCAGCCCAGGTCCCCTCACCCCATTCCACATCAGGCTTCTCTCCCTTCGGCTCCTCCTGCACTCGGTGCCGGTGCCAGTGCCGACAGGTGCTGGAACACAGCCTGGAGCCAGGCAGGCAGAGACCCTGCCTTGGTGAGGCGCCCTTCCATTCTAAAAGAAACGCGAGAAGTCGATTGTATACTAGTGAGGAGGCTCTAAACAGAAAAGAAGGCTCAGGGACTGGGCACGCGGCGTAGGGGGCTGCAGTTCTAGAAGGGTGGTGGGCCCTGTTGCACAGGCCAGTAGGGGACTGTGCAGGTCTGTGGGAGGTGACACAGCAGAGGGAAGACCCGTGCCTCACTCGTGTTTCTTCTGGCAAGTCCTTGTCCACGCCCTGGACTGGAGTTGGAAGAACTCAAGTCTGTCCGGAGGCTGAGACGACACCAGCCCTGGGGATTCAGAGTCCCCTGGTGTGGGTTGTTCTGCTGCTGCGTCTCATGGGACTTTGGCATTTTCCACTAGCATCAAATGGGGAGTGTCCTTTCTGGAGGGCAGATCTGGGAGAGCCAGGGAGCTGCTGCTCCACATCGGCTGCCCTTGGCTGAAGCTAGGAAAGGAGAGGTGGTCCCCCCATGTCTGTGTGTGCTCACAAGGGGCTGCTACACCAGGACTCATTGACGGTGCCCAGAAACCCTGTGTGGGAGATGCCATTAGGTCCCTGTTTTACCAACGGGAAAATGGAAAGAGGGGCTGTTCGTTTACTAAGTGTTCTAGGTGCTGGACAACATGTGGGGAGCAGGCACCCCACAGGAAGGGCTCCTGTTGAGCAGCGGCTCCTGCCAGCCAAGCTGAGGAGTGTCACGAGGGGATTAAAAGGCAGACCTGGGCTGGGGAGGACACTGGGTTTCCATTTCCACTTTCTTTTACAACCATGAAGTTACATGAATATTACAGAAAAGTTTTAAACGTGATGGGGAAGTGGCCCCCAATCCCACAACCTTTGTGTCCTGCCTTTATACCAGACGCTCTTCTCCACAGTGGAACTCCTGGGTGGCTCGCACTTAGCAGCACTGCTCGCGCACCAGGCTGTCCGCAACATCTCCTTAAATCCTCCTAGTCCTCCCAGCGCCACGTGAGGTGGGGCAGTTATCAGCTTCATTTCACAGGTGAGGGAATGGGGCGCAGAAAAGTTCAGGAACCTTCTCAAGCTCCACATCCAGGCCCAGCTGGGTCATATTTCTCCCGAGGCAGGCTGCATAGGTGACATGTGGCTCAGTGTTACATTTCTTTTATGTAGGGCTGAGATGGGGACGGGCAGGAGCGTCTCAGGGAGCCTTCCCCTCCCCATCTTCATTTCCACTGCAAAGCCTGTGCACCCTGCACGACTTGGCTCCCATGCCCCTCTGGGGAGCCTGCCTTAACCTGCTGGGGCCATGCTGCCCTCAGCTCCATGTGGTACCTCCCAGCACCGTTTTCTTGCAGCCACGTTCTGTGGGAGGCATTGGTAACACCATCTGTCCTTCTCACTGGGCTGGGCTCCTGGAGAGCAGGGATATTGCCCAGCCATCTCTGGATACCAGCTCTGGGCAGGGTCACGGCTCCACAGGTGCTGGCTGCATCAGAAGGTCTTACAGGGCTCCATGCTGGGCACCGTTGAGGCCCCCACACATTTCCTAAGGGATGGCAGGTGGAGGGGACAGAGTGGAAGGGAAGAGGCATTGCAGGCTGGAGGGGAGACCGGCCCACCTGCAGAGCTTCCCTGGCTGGCTGGGGAAGCCCGTGCTGCAAGCCTGGGTGGACTGTTTGCTTCTGAGAGTGCCAGGGGCTTCCCACACCCATGCTGGGATCAAGATGCCGATGATAAAAGGGCTGCACTTTGGCGGGGCCCTTCCGGTTTTTTGTCTTTTCAGTACACTGTGCAGCCTTGGGCTCATCCTGGCTGCTTAGCTGAGCTATCGTGCCCTGCCTTTAGTCCTCACAGCTGGCCAGTGGTGTGACTCATCAGCTCCATTGTAAAGACGGAGTCTGAGGCTCAGAGAGGATGGACAACTCAAGAATGTGGCTGGCACCAGGGCCTGGCTCCAAAGCTAAGTTCTCCCCATGTGCCACATGTGTCACAGCGCCCACCCTGAAATGCCAGACGAGGGCAGTGTCAATGATAAGCACATTCCATTTCTCTGTCCTTTCCCTTCTGAAAACAGCTCTTTCACTCAGAGGGCTTGCAGGCATTTCTGATCTTTACACTTCAGGGCTCAGTGGGCTGGTGAGGAGAACTGTTCTGCATGGGGCAGGGTGGTATCAGCCTACCCCAACATCTTCACTGAGCCAGTGAAAGTTGAGTCACTCACCTCTGAGGTGGGGAAATAGCCACAGCCCTGCAGCCCTGCAAGGAGTGGGGTGTGAGGATTTGCTGCAAGGGTCTCCTGACTGATAGATGTCTGCAAGATCCCAAGTGCTCCCCCATCCCCCCGTGTCTCATACCCCCATGCACCACCTTCCCTGAGCCCAGCAGTGATGACTTGGTGGCTCTGTGTGCCAGATGCTGAACCAGGCCCCACCACATCTGCTCCACGAAAGACCACACAAGGGAGGCGCCACCCTCCTGCCATGGAGGACGCCATGGCCTGCCACTTCCTGGCGTTGGAGCAGCCCAAGCTCGGATCTGCTGAGTGGAGTCCACGGCAAGGCCCATTTCCGTAGTGTCTCGTGGCCTGTGCTGCACCGTGTTCCTCTTGGTGGTCCTGCTGCCTGGCATGGAACCGGCCCAAGCTTGCATCTGAATCTGCTGGGCGCCCACCTACTAATGTCACCCTGACACTCCTTTTCCTTGACGCATGGGAGGAATTATCCAGATGGAGAGAGGGAGCTCATTCAGAAAGAACAGGATACCCCAGGTTATGCTCAGGCCTCTAGGTCTACTTAAACGAGAGTTTTTCTATGTCTAGAATCCCCACCTCTGTCACACACACACACTCACTCACTCTCAGCAAATTGCATGCTCTGCCCTGTGTCCCTTGCTTCTGATACCATGCAGCAGCCAGGTAGTGTCAAATGCATCTAGACTCAGAGGGTGATGTTACTGCCTGGGGCTCATGGCAGCTGCGGGTCCAAAGAGGACCTTGTGTATACTGTGGCCTCAGACTTGGCTCCAGCCACAGCTCTGAATGTCACTGGGCAGATGGGAGCCTTCACCTCTATAAAATGAGTGGTGGAATCCGGACCTCGTAGGGCACGGAGGGGTGAGCCTGCAGCGCGGGTGGACTGCAGAACCTCCTGCGAGTGACGGTGGTCAGCACTAGCTGGGAGGCCTATGTGTGCCAGGGCGGGGACATGATGAATGTCGGCTGGATTTCGGACAGCCCATGGTTGATTCTGGAAAAAGAATGGTTCCAACCCATCGTCCACTGGGTCGGAAAGATAAATGACAATTAGTGCAAGATCTTTAGTGAAGTAACCCTGTTGGCCTGTCACACACACACCCTCGGAGCTTACTGCAAGGCCTCTGTTTTCTGTCTTCTCATCTTAGGGGTGTGTGAAGTCATGATCAGCACCTACAGAGGGTGACACAACGTGGAGTGGTGGAGGACTGACTAGAGACCCAGTGTAGCGTTGTAGTTTCTGGGTCCCCTGTGTGGCCCTGGAAGAACGGCTTCACCTCTCTGGGTCTCACTTCCCCTAACTATAAAATGGGACAAATGGGACTCACCTCCCAGTGAGAGAATGTGTCTGAAAGCACTCTGCAAACTGTCAGCTACACGGAGCACATCAGGAGCAGGGCCACATGGATGGATGGCAGGCACCCAGCTCCTTTTCTCTCATGGCCAGGGAGGGGGCAGGCGGGCCTGGAACTGCAGCCTCAGGCCGCTCGGCAGGGATGCTCAACCTGCCTGTAGCTTTCAGAGGCTGAGAAAAACGTGAGTTCAGGCAAGGAGGAGGTTCTCCGAAGCCACTCCCTGGTTTGTCCTGGGCCAGGCTCTGACATCTCGGCTGCCTGCATCCACTGGAATGGCAGCCACCAGTGGCCTGAGGTACCCAGAGGCGTGGAATCCTCACAGAAAGATCCCAGCAGCGGGGTGTCCACTTAGCAAGGGTTTCTTGTTAAGTACCAGGAGTTGGTCAGTGCTTTTGCCTCTGCCACTGACCAGCAAGGTGGCCTTGGCCGAGATGCTGGGCTCAGTGGGGCTGAACCTCAGACTCATCAGGGAGATGTTGAAAAGACAGATGACTCAGCTCAGACATGTGGGGTGGGGGCATGACCGGAGAATCGGGAGTTTTAAAACTCTCCCCAGGTGACTGTGATGGGGGCTTAGGTCGGGGACCCCTGACTTAACTTCAGTCTTACTCTCCTCTCTGACAGAGAGACTCCTGGCATTGGTGTACTGCTTAGTTGCTTCAACAAGATGGAAGGTTTTAATTCTCTCACACTAAGTCCAAGGTGGAAACAGTGTGGGACCCATGAAGCCCCAATTCCCTGTCTCTTGCTGCTCTGCTGGCCCCAAAGTTTTTTCCTGTGGGTGGTCAGGCTGGCCAAGAAGGGGACGTGGAATAGTGGAGAGCAGGCAGCTTCCCTTCAAGGGCCCAACTAGAACCTGCTCCTGCTACATTGGCTCGAACCGCATTGGTCACATGGCCTCACCTGTCTACAAGGCAGGCTGGGAAATGTAGTCTTTACTTGGGGTGCCAAGTGTCAACTCTGGGGGAGGATGGGTATGGAAGACAATTAGCAATCTCTGCACACCTTTCTTGTGGGGTTGGTACAGGGCCTACAAGTACGTGAGCCCGCTGACCACATGCTCAGTTAGTGTTCCACCCATATCAGCTAGGTCGTGGGGCATGGGTTAGGTCAGCTCCTGTGACAAGCAGCCAGGCTTGCTGCAGGATCTTAACCTTTTTTGGTCTCCCTCCAAAATGTCCATACAACAGAAAATTTCACATTCAATCCTGGGGGCTTCCAAATATCTGGAACCCACCCTTGGCCTTCCCAGGGCTTGTGGCTTGCAGGTGACAGCTTCCTGGCACAGTGCTGCCACCTGTCTTGAGGCTCCTCAGTGGCCTCCGGCTGCTCTTTAGGTCACAGGGTCTACCTCATGACTCCCTCCAGGACCCTTAAGGCTAGCCGAGGCCTGGCTTCCTGAACCTGGAGCCTTTTTTTTTTGGCTGTGACCACTGGCTGGCCTTCAGTCTCCTGAAGTTCCCATGTCTTCCTGCCCAGGGCCTCCACTAACCTAGAATGCTTTCCTCTCCTCCCCTGGGACAGTCTCTGAGGAGCTAGCCCGAGGGATGCCTTTCTCACTCCCGTCCCTCCCTTCTTTGAATTGGTTGTTTCTGGACATGTCTAAGTTTCACTGTTTTCTAGCAGATTAAAGATAAATGACAACTAGTGCAAGATCTTTAGTGAAGTAAGCCCTGTTGGCCTGTCACACACATGCCCTTGGAGCACGAGCACCAGTCTGTCATGGCACTTGTTAAAAAGTCTATTCTGTTAGGAGTTCTTCAGGCTTCCACTTGGCTGTGAGCCAGGGGTGGGACCCCTGGGCACCATTGCACTCACTGTTTGTTCTTCCAAGCCCCGGGAAGGTGCTCAGTACGTACCTGTGGGTGTTAGTTGGAGACACACACTGGCATCCGTCCCTTCTGCACCCTGCATGGTCTCAGTGGCCTCTTGTCTTTCAGAACACCCAGTGCATTCCAGAAGGCTTGGAGAGCTACTATGCGGAGCAGGACTCCAGTGCCCGGGAGAAATTCTACACAGTCATAAACCACTACAACCTGGCCAAGCAGAGCATCACCCGCTCTGTATCGCCCTGGATGTCAGTGCTATCGGAAGAGAAGCTGTCCGAACAGGAGACGGAGGCAGCCGAGAAATCAGCTTAGCAAGATGGGCAAGTTCCTTATAATGTGTCACTTGAAAGTAACAAAGGGACTTTGAGGGACATTTCATTAAATATAATTATCAATAATTTAGCGGTTACTCATTTACGGTGCAGTTGCTTCTGTTTGCTAATGCTGCTTTGCATATAAAACTTGCTGCCGACTACCCATGGGCATAGACTCAAGTGCATATCAGCATTGCTTAAAGAGCTCCGACACCAATTTTCATGTTAAGGAATCTTAACTTAGCCCTTTTACTGGGATTTATTGGATGCTGTCAAAAAATAAATTTACACTGGATATGCCAGGGGTTTGGACTTCAGATAAATAATGCATTTTGTGGAACTGATTTTTTTAACCCACTCTGCTGTCTGTGAACCTTACTGCATAGCCATATCTAAAGTGATCTCTTGCTTTGCTAAGAGTGAACATACTTCACCTTTCTTCCCACCTGCCATCAGCTGGGAACAGTGCCACCTGCTAAGACACACTGTAGTGGGTGGAGAAGGGAGGAAGCAGCACACCTAGGAGCAGACACACCCACTCCCCTGCCATGTGCTAATTCCTAGGTGTGGGAGAGCGCTGCAACAAGGCATGCTCAGGGTGGGGACGGTGTATGTTCCCAGACTGTCTCTTGGTCCCCTCGGGCTCCGGCATCTTGATAAAGAGGGGTGCTGCTGGTAGAGACAGCGTGGTTCACTCCAGCATGTGTGGACTGGCCCAGCGAGGAAGGGAAGAGCTTGGTAAGAGATGACCCTCGAGGCTGGGAATCCGTCTCCCTGTAGGTGTCATCTGCTCTGTGATATGCTGAATAGGAAAGAAACCTTACTGGCCCTTTTGTTCACTTCTATTACTAATAAATTTGCACCAACAGCCCGGTTAGCAAGGTAGTTTTTTAAAAATTAGCTGGGTGGGACAAGTGAAAATGTAACTGCTGGTAAGCCAAGGATACTTTAATTTTTATTTTGTGAAACAGAAATAACTCCCTTGATGTAAGAAACAGGCAGGAAAGGCTGGTAGGGGCTGGTGTGGCGCCTTGCAAATATAGCTACTGACATTTCAATTCAGTCTTTGTAAGGAAATTGTTTCAGTTTGAATCTTGACATTAAAATTTATGTTTACGAAATTGACAGATAAGCTAAGTGTGTAAGACAATTAAATAGAAAGAAGATATCACAGATGTTTTCTTCCATGTTATTTGAATGTATTGTTTCTGGTGGACATGTCAAAAGTTTCACTGTTTTTAGTAGATCAGAAATAAACGGCAAATAGTGCAAGATCTGTTGCAAACAAGCATGGTGGTCACGGCCACCCCTGATATTGTTTCCTGAAATGGGCTTCCAAGACATAAAATAAATCTTACTATCAAGGGTGTTTGGAAACAAAGGCCATGACCTCAGCACAGTGGGTGTGCGGCACCAAGGCACGTGCTGTGAAGGATGCTGTGAAGCCGTGGGGCACACATCAGAGCAATAAATATGTGCCAAAACTCCTCTTGCACACCTCTGGATGGACAAAGGAAGCCCACGTAAGCACAGGACAGAGGGAAACCCCATTTGTATTTTCTAGTAGACATGTACTTTATTGACTGTAAATTCATTCACATGTAACTTCTAACATTTCACTCTGTGCAAATAAAGAACACAAGGATACCCGTGCAGCCCAATGGACTGTCTGTATGCACACGCGTTTCCAGGAGCACTGCGAACCGTCCCACGCCCACGGGGATGCTGGGAGGCTTTCTGCACGGATGTGGTCGAGATGTCTCAGGACCACATTACAGTTCAATTACATTACAGTTCAATTCAATTACAAATCGGTGTTCCTGTGTCTACTTCCTGGAGGGTCAGACACACGGGCACAAGAACAGCAGGCCCTGTTCTTCTATGGCCTGGACCCAGTGGCAGGAAACCAGGCCTCCCACGGCCCCTGCCTGCCCTGCCAGTAAAGTGTTGGGGCAGCAGTTCTCGGAGGAGTCAGGCCAGGTAGCCCCTTGCTGAGGGCCCCAGTCTGTCCTGTACTTCTTCCCTGACATGAGGGGGCAGGCGTCCACTGAATTTCTCAACTTAGACTCATCGACAATACATTAAGTGGTTGTGATCATATTTATTAGATTAGCAAAGCAAATGTGAGCTTTTCTATGACATAATGAGTCTGTGTATTGGTTGACTCAGGTAGACAAGAAGCCACAAGGAAACACAGAAGTAATCATTTGTTGGGAGACATTAATAATAGTGATTTTCCCCGAAGCTACCGGGATGGGAAAGGCCAGCGACTGCTTTGAGACCTGAGATGACCTGGGGAAGCCTGAGCCCTGATGTGCCCTCCCCTGGAGCCGTCCCTGCCACAGCAGCTTCAGGGTTAGGTGCAGTTAATACCTATGTCTCCTCGTTCAATCTGTTTTGCCTTATGATTACAACACAGGTCACTTTCAATCTGCGTTCACTGTTTCCTTTTTCATCTGCTAAATAGGTTTAAAACCACTGGTTTGGGTATCCCTCTTGTGGGAGTACATGTGTCTGTCTCAATCCCCTCTCCCCTCAGTGGCTCTGTGATAAGATCTGGTCATAACCACGCTCCAGCACCAGAGACACATGATGGCACATGGTTTGTCAGAAGCGCCCGTGCAGATTCCCGGACTGGGCACCCACTGCCCACTGCCGGCAGAGCCACCTGCGCCAGGCTAGCTGTCGTACCAGTCGAGGAAGAGCAAGGAGAAGGAGCACATCACCAGGAAGAAGAGGATCCACACACGGAAGCCTGCATTGTTTTTAATGGCCTGGGTGAGGACAGGAGCATCGTTATCTTTATCACAGAGGATTCTGGTTTTCAAAGCCCTAAAATGCTCTACTATTTCCATGCACTGTCCCTGTCCTGGCTGTAACATGGGTGTTGCTTGATTGTACGCTTACCTTGAATAGATGGCTTAATTATTAAGCAAAACTAAAAAGTGGGATTAAAATCCATCAGAAGACAAGTGGGTTGTATTTTCCTCATTGTTTAGCCATATTTTAGAGGTCCTGCCCAGTTCTCTCAGGAAACATGACATCCCAGAAAACGCTCCCATCTGTCTCGAGGTTAAAGGCTCAGAGCAGAGCATTGGCCCTGGGCTTTATGTTTCCCAGTAATACAGTGTCAGCAGTGACCCAGTGATGGTCCCATGTCAACACAACTCTGAGGACTGTACTCAGTAAACAGAGTCCACTCCACAGAGAAGGCCGGTGGTATCTTCCACAGGCAACAGCCAGGCTCCAGCCCCTTAGAAAGGGCCACCAAGGCTTACCAGTGGTGCCCAACCCTGGATTTAGGGAGCTGGCCTGACCCCTGCCGGGAGTGCCCCAACCCCCCACCCTAGGTTGCTCACTTTGGAGGGTGCTAAGCCACTGCCTCTTGATGGGCAGCGGGTCTCATGGACACACACAGCTAGGCTGGGACTAGCTCACAGCTGCACAGGTGTGTGACTGGCCCTGTAAGCTCTGCCCTGCAAAGCCCTTGGGCAGCCCTGCCAGCGAGACTAATGCTATTGCTCAGGCTTCGTGCTGTGCCAAATAAGACCCAGGGGCCCTAGGAAGTACCTACCTCTCTTATGTCTTCATTGCCCTCCTTGATATTTTCAGTTGCCCCTACAACTAGTTGGTGAATGCTATCAATCTCAGCTTCCTGTGGAAGAAAAGAATGTCAGATAAATACAACCTCCTCCTCCTCCTCCTCCAAGCATGCATCATGATAAAAACAGTAGCTGCCATTTACTAAGGGCGAGGGCCTTTACCCACATAGTGCATGAATCCTCACAGCACCCGCAAGTTAGGTGTTATTCCTATGTTATAAAAGGGAAACTTACAGCTCAGAGAAGTTTATTAACTTTCCCAAAGTCACACCGCAACCAGCTAGCAGGACTGGATGAGACTCTCATGTTGCTGGACTCCAGTGCCTGTGCTCCTTCCACTCCTACTTGCCATCTCTCCTGTGCCACTCACCAGATGTCAAGGACAAAAACATAAGAGCTGCTGTTTGCAGAGCAGCCACCACATGCCAGGGGCTTTCCCGCTAGTCATTTATTCTTTCAGAAGTCAGAGAAGTAAGCCTCAAAGCATATGTGCTTTAAGACACATATGCTAGATTTTTTAAAAAGTGCTTTGTGTTTTACCATTATCTCTCTGAAAAACAGGCCTAAAATTTAAAAAATCAAAACGGGATGCAGGATGCTTGCAGAAAATGTTTACTGCCAACACTTGGAGAGCTTAAGAAGCACAGGACCCTGGTCTCACAGAGAGCGTTAGGCCACTCAGCCCCACCAGCCTGTGGGGAGGACAATGCTGGATGGCCCTCCAAGCAGGTGTGGCTGTCCTCTCTCCTCAGCTGCTTCACTATCGCCGATTCCTCACAGCGCCGGGGAGGGGAGCGTACACAGCACGGGTTTTTAGAGAAACCTGACTGATACAACACTGCAGGAAGGAAAGCAGCCCTTGGCTATCTGATTCCCAGTGGTGATTATTACACAGTCTAAGGACATAAGGGCTGGGACTGCTTTAGAATCTTGAAGAGGAGAGCTAACTGACCATTGCCACTGTTCCTGTGAGAGAATCAATATGAAAAACCACTCAACACTGACAGAAAAACCAAGAAAGACACACCATTTCTTAGGTCTTGTAAACTCCTGAGAAGCCAAGGCAAGGCTCTGGCCTGTGCTCCACACATAGCCCCAGGTTGAGCACCTGGAGCCGCTGGGGTGGCTTTAAGTAGGGCAGTGACGTGAGCAGCTCTTTTCTAACTATGTGGGCCTCGTCTGTCCCAAGACTCTGGGGCTGAGTGCAGGAACCTAAGAAACGGGGCAATTCGGACTTTTCCTGCCTCTTGGCCAGCCAAGGCCTCACTGCATTTCACTGCACGTAAGATACACTATGGTCATGTTCCCTCTGCCAGTGGCCACTGGCTGCGCTAATAAAACAGGGCACTACCTAGATTTCTCATAGCCACACCTAGGAATAATAGCAGTAACCCGTCATCAGAGCTTGCCCTGGGCCAGGTGTGTGTCAGGCACTTCCTATACCCTGGCTCTGAGACTGGGGCAGGTGACATCAGCCCCATTTTACAGATGAAGAACAGGGCTCAGGAGAAGCAGTCCCAGGTCACATGAAGCGTGATGGCAAGCCCATTCAGAGCCTGGGTCTATGTGGCCCCGTGGACTCTGAGTTCCATTCACCGTGCTGAGCTGCCTCTAGAAGCAAGCATGCTCTGTGTGGGGACATCTGATTTGACTGTTTTGTTTGTCATGCAGCTGAACCGATGGCCACCAAATTGACGGGTCTGCACCAAGGTGATCATGAGGCTTCTCAGTGAAGGTTTACAATATGCATGCAGGTGCTTCAGAAAGGGCAGCATATGCTTTGAGGTTTACTTCTCTGACTTCTTAAAGAATAAATGACTAGCAGAAAGGGCCTGGCATGTGGTGGCCGCTCTGCAAACAGCAGCTCTTCTGTTTTGTCCTGAACTTCCAAACTGTGGTTAGACTGAATGTACTGCATTTATAATGACTTGACTCTGGGTGGTGTGGTTTAGGTTAAGTTGTTTTGTAAGTGAAATATCTTAAACCTAGTAGACCAGTTTAATAAAATGAAGAAAAATGATTTTTGTCTTTCAAACCCTTCCATGGTCTTTGGGTGCTAAAAATAAAAAGACAAATTTATGAGGTCTCTAAAAGTTTTGCCAGTTATTGGCTGGAAACATTTCAGAACTGTAGGCAGGTAAAATAACATGAAAATTCACTTAAGAGAACAATCCTATTTCCCATGAGCACACTACACCTGAGGTAGCATAGACCCAGCACTTTGAGAGAGCTGAGTATGCACTGTTATAACACTGCTGACTAAAAACAACCCAAGGTCAAGGGTTTGGATACCCATACCAGCCAGCTGCAAAAAGAAAAGCTACTACCCATCAGACATGGTGCTGGACACTTCTGTAGGTTACAACAATCCTGCAAGGGTCACTCCATTTTATAGACGGGAAGCTGTAGCTCCGAGGGGCTACGAGCTTACACGAGCATACCCAGAGTCAAGATCTACCTGATGCCCAGACCTGCTCTCCATCCTCCCATGTGCCACAGTGCTTCTCTGGTGTAATGAGGGGCTCTCACCTGAGGAGTTCAGCAAATACACACTGCCTAACAGCACATGGCTCTGTGCACAGCAGCAGAGATCATGCAGAGATCAGGCGACTTCACAAGAAATGTCCTGACTTCTTAGTACAGTAGTTCTCTCTTAAACTAAAACTTAAAACCACTTTTTTGTTGTTGTTTCTTTTTTTACCTGCTGCAAAACTTTTTCCGTGAATATCTCTTGGAGTCTGGAAATTTCAACCACTTTCCCTTCGATTTGCCTTCATAAAAAGAAGAATTAATTGATTACACATGAACTATTAGTATTCGGTAGTCTAACAGGAGAAATCCTTTCTTCTCAGTGAAGCAGGAGCGGAGGAGGGCCACCATGTCAGATGGAGGAGATGAGTGGAGCACCTTTCCTGTCTCCCAGCATAGCTCAGCACACTGGATATTTTAGAAATACACACTACCATGTCAACTGACCCTCAGTCCCAAGAGGAGGGCATGTGCAGAGGCTCTCGCATTCTGATCACTGCATGGGGACCGGGGAGCACATGGTTATACCTCAGTTACAAAACGCAGTCTCCAGTGAGTCCTAAGACTAGCCTAGTAACCGTAGTAACATACAGTTGGAATTCAAAAGACAATGTCAGGATGTGTTGATGATCCAATTTGTTACTGCTCAATAGGATAAAGAAAAAAGTATGTTCCCCACTCAGATCAACTCCCTGTTGCAAGGAAAAACCTCCTCCGATTCAGTTTGAAAATATCCTGTCTGATTTCAGCAAATGAGCATCTGACTGACCTGACACTTCAGTGAGCTGTCTTCCCTGTTGCAGGGGCAACATGGGTTACCTGGGGCAGGCTGGGGGCTTGCATATGTCTAGAAACAGAAGTTGCCCAGGCTGAATCTAACTACTGTTCCAGCATAAAGCAGCGACTGCAAGCAGCAGGAGGTGGAAGGGGATGGGGCAGCAAGCTGACCACCCAGCCTAGGGGGAAGCAGAGATGTGATACCCACCAGACCAGGGGAGGCAAGAGAAAGGCCAGGAGATGTAGTGTAGGCTTGGGAAGGAACAGTGAGACAGAGCTGGGGGAGGGGACAGTGAGAAGACGGTCAGAGGGAGGATTAGGCGGTCCACCTCTGAAGGCAGAAGACCAAGAGCCTGGGGAGCCGTCGACGTCAGGATTTATTTTATCCTGGGGATGTGCCTACAATGCAGCAAGGCTCTGCAAAGATCCAGGTCTTACTACTTTTGGAATTCTCCAAACATCCCCATGGAAACTGAGGCCTCTGAGTGCTTTCGCTAGAGGACCAGCGATCGCCCGTGTGCATGCACATGGCCACTGCCTCCTGCATTCCTGACTCCTTGCTTGGAGAGTGGTGCCATTTACAGGAGGAGGCTTCCTTTTGTCAGATGTCCTTCACAAGGCTCCCCACTTCATTTTAAAGCAATTACATGTAAACAGCCCAAATGAAGGTCTTTATGCTGGGGTAATTTGCAATCACTAATTGGTCCTTTCTGGACAGTGCAGCACCTGGGAACCTGGTGGGTGCAGGTGGTAGCCTCCCACCTCCCACAGGCGCACAGGCTGAAGGGGTCAGTGGATTTGAGCAGCTTCTCCCAGCCTGGTCAGATGGCTCAGGTGGGCTATTTGGCCCAAAGGCCACATGTGCACGCCTGGGCATCAAAGTAAATGAATAAAGTCCCTAGTCCTCGGAAAAGCTGTAAACTAGGCCACCAGCTCAGAAAAGAACTACATACATACCTCACTTCGTCAAACAAGCTGTTCATTTCACCCATTAGTCGTTGATTTTCTTGTTCAAACTGTGAGGAAACAAACATTCAGGATGACATCATGCTGAATACAGACAAGAGTCTAGCAAGAAAACTTTGATCTACTCTCCAAGAATCACTGCTGAATCCCTCTTTCCAGCATGGAGCAACATGGCATCGCCGGGAGCCCGTGAGCACTTCCCTGCTTTAGGAAGAAAATTAAACAAAAGAAAATGAAACCCAAAGAACAGCTGTGCTGCCTGTGGCTTGACCTCTCCATCTCCTCCATCTGAATTCACAGTGTGCGAGCTGACTCGCACAGCCGTAAACTGTGGAAATATGCACAAACAGGAACTCGGAGGAGGAACTGGTCAGCCTGTTACCTCCTTGCCCTCTTGTTTCCTCTGGGCTCCCACGGCCTGTTTCCTGCCTCTGGAACAGTTATTTTTTAAATGGAGAAGGATCTGATGTGGGGAGGGTCTGGAGAGGAAGGGGAGATCAGGTGGCTTTGCCTGGGGTAGGGAGCGGAGAGGCAGAGCTGCCTGGGGATCCATCTGACTGCAGGCCGTGCCCCTGGCTACTCCACTGCTCTAGGGACAGAGGCCCATGGCCAGAGAAGCCACTGGGATTCCCAGTGCTCAGGCTGGGTGAGGATGGTTGCTTGACACTCAGGGACAGCCCTCAGAGCGGAGTTAACTCAGCCGAGTGACAGATGTTCTCCTGGCCTTTCTTGCAATTTGATGTAGGCCAAAGAAAAGGATGGGTGCAGCTGAAACCCCCCACGGAGTGCGGCCAGGGGTAGCTCCTCCTTACCCTCACCCGAAGACCACAGGCTTGTCTCAGTGTATCCGCTCAACCGCCTGCATGCAGGGAGGCCACAGGTCCACAGGCCCAGCTTCCCCATGAGACATTCCCTTGACCCCCAAGCTCAAAGTTAGTTCTCATTTTTCTATCCTTGGCTGAGCATTTTCTGAAAATCTCATAGGATATTAATCCTATGTAATAAATTGTGCATGTCCCAAACTCCCAGTGTGGCTCTGAGCTTCCTGAGGGTGGGAACTGTGTGGAACCCAACTTTGAAAAAGCATTCCATTTGTTCTTTCACATCTACTAAAGCCACTGTCAAATTCACAAATACTTTCTGAGGCACATGGGTAGGGGAGGGGAGAAAAAACATAAGCCAGCCCTTGCCCTCCAGAGGCTTTGAAGTCTGTCATCAGCTTAGTAAAGCAAGAATGGAGAAAGGCCGTGGCTATGGGACTCATAATGACCACGCGGGCTGCAGTGGCACTCCACAAGCCGGCACTCATAAGTCTCACAACAGCCCGCTCTCCAGCCTGTCACCTGTGTACAGGCCAGCTCTCTCCCCCCAAACCCAGAACAGACACCTTCCTAGTGATGTGATGCATCAGGGCAGAATGAACCACCTTCTGTCATTCCCTCTCGTGAAAAAGTCCCTCACAGCATTTCTCACACTTGTTGAGGGGGGGGGCTGACACTACAGGGCACTGGTTCTCAGCCCCGGCTGCTCATGAAAACACAGACACCTCTGCTCCACCCCAGACTTCCAAGGTCAGAAAATGGGCGGGTTGGTGAAGCTTCAGGAAGGGTGGAAGAGCTGGGGAAGCTCAACCAGGGCAGGCCACCTTGCGGGCTGCTGACACAGTCCTGCTATATAGCCCTTTCAATTAGGCATCAACAAGGCTACTTAAGAGAATAAAAACTTCACTTCTGAGTTGAAAGTATCAGCTCTGTTAACTGTCAACTCAAGTTACTTAAAAGCCCAGTATTTAAGGAAAGCATGTAGGTGCTAATTCACTTTGACTAATTCTCTCAGGTACTACTCTGGGTTGTTTTTTTTTTTTTTTGAGGGGGAGCACTTTCCTTGAATTTTTCTAATGACAAAATATGGCCATGCCCTTTTAAATCCAGTCCTTTTATGCTTTGAAATGGTGCCTAAACAAAATTAACTTGTGGTCTGAGGTGACTTATTACTGGAAAGTTCCTTGGGAACAAAGCATTTCTGTCCCCCCACTGAGGCATGTGGTATAGTGCTGCACCTCCTGGTAGGCCTCAGTAATTGTTACTCCTGAACGCTCCATGTCAGCCTTTAGTGGCAGTCAGAAGTGGGATTAGATTCTGGCTCTGATTTCCTTCGACCCCATGGGTTTTTGAGGCCACCTGAGAAATACCCAGCCCCTAGAGGAAGAGACAGACAGATGCCTCGAAGGATCAAACATGATAAGGGCTGGAGATAGGTTTGCCATCAACCTGGAGTTTTAATGGAGAGCAGCCTCCATTCAAAGGGTGGGGGTTACTAGGAAACCATGTTTTTAAAATAAGCCTGTTTCCCACAGACAAGTGCAAGGTCACTACTTAATGGGGCCTGGCAGGGCTCAGGCTGACTAGGTAACAGCCAGGTTGCTGACAACACTCTTTTGCGCCAGGCTTCAGGATAGTTTCCATCGCTGTCTACATGCTATCTACAAACCTGTATGCCTCCGCTCCTGTCTGAGGCTGGGTGGCAGAGGTAGGTGGTGGAAGTACCAGGTGGACATAGGAGCCAGTTCTGGGCCTCATGGGAACCCTTGGGTGACCCCGGGCCAGCCACTGGCTTTTGGGTGGCCTGTTGCTTTGTGTACAGATGTGGTGATTCTTATCCTTTCCTTCTGATCCTGAGGTGGTGAAGCCATGGCTGGAAGTCCAGCTCCTTCACCCTCTAAGCTGGATGATGTTAGGCAGGTGACTTAATCTCTCTGTACCTCTTTGTCACTAAAATAGGGATAATAATAATACTTACGTAGTAGCGCTGTTAGAAGGAGCACACAAATTAAAACATGTAAGTTGTTTGCCAAAGTGCATGGAACATAGTAAGCTCTTGATAAATGTTATCATTATTTACTCTTTCTGGGAGTCAGATGCTGCATATGTGAAACGAGTGGCTAGATGCTTTGACGGCCCCTTCTGCCTCTCTGGTCTCAAATTATAGAGTGCCGCTGTGGCTCCTGGCCATTGCACCCTCTCAGGCACTGCAACATGTACACACAGCGTCTTCCAGAGCTCGCTGGGCCGCAGTTGCTAGAGTCTGTCTCTGATTGAATATCCATGTCACCACCCCACACAGAGTTCACAAGGTACACCACTGAATGAAAGGCCTGGTCCCCATGGTCAGCTACACAGACAGCTGTGTCTACCTTCCCTGCAAAGACAAACCTGAAAGCAGTCTAAGAAATACTTCATTCATGAACTGGTAGGTAGAGTGGGTGGGGAGGGCCCCCAAGTATCACAGTAGACAGCCTGCAGTTCTGGGCTCCCTGCCATGGCCCAACCACTCTCCAACCATAGGGGTACAGCATCATGTTTAAGAGTCTAGGACTTGGGAGCTATGTGGCCCCGGACTGGTGACTTAAGCTCTCTGTAGAATGGGGCCAGCAATACTCTGTCCCACATAGGAGTGCACAAATTAACAGATGCTGAAGTGCTATAGCAGTACTGGGCACATAGTGTGTGTTATGTGTGTGTTAAACAATATTATTTAACTGCTTTATTCCATTTAGGAGTCAGTTGGACACTGTTAAAGGTTTCTAATCTGGTTTAAAGGACACAAATCCACATTCTGAATATACTGTTACAGAAATCCTTTTCCAATCTACTCTTTTATTATAGATTTTAAAAAGAAAATCACTCCTACAAAGGCCTTGAGTATAATATGAGGCCAGGAGTAGTTCTGCATTGCAAAGACCCAAGAGCAGCTGATTGAAGACTACAGGGGTTGTCCCAGAAAGCAGTCTGGCCCCCTTGGCTCAGGAACCAACTGCCCAGGCCCTTCCTGGGTTCTTCCGACATGCCTTCTCTGTGCCAAGCTCTTTCACATTCCTGGCTCAGCCACCCTCAACTTGATCCCCACCCGTGCCCCTGTGAACCTGGAGCCTTGCCAGGGTCTGCACTCCAGGTCTTGCTGTGTGGTGCTCAGGTTCTGCCAATGACCGTCGTGTTCTGACGCACGAGGTGAACTTGGCCACAGACTGCAAGCCCTGCCTGCAAGGGGTCAGGGGCTAGAGACACCTTTCATGTGGATTTGAGAAACAGAAGTCATATTCATGTCTTTAAAATTTATCCTAAGGAGTACATCAATAAATGCAGGTGGTTTCACTTGAGGCAAGTAAAGTGTATGTGGGCTTTGAAAAGGAGGAATTTTCTTGACGTAACATCAGAAAACAATTTGGTTCCAGTCAGACTGACCACACATCTGCTGACTCAAAGGCATTAATATACCTGTATCATGAGTTATAAATGAAAATTTATTGTGCAAATCATATAATACCCTGCAACCATTTTGGAATTTGTAACAACTGCTCCTTTGGGTGAAATAATGAATCGAATTGCTATTATAGGGCTTAATTCATTATTTTACCCTGAGGAGAAATTCCGAAAGTGATGATGAATTATGATCACGATTTGCTTCAACAATTTCCAATTTAAAACCAATAGTGTGGTATTTCTTTTGCTTCGTTTTTTGAGGTTGAACTTTTTAAATAAGATTTTTGTTAGTCAGACTAAGATATGGTGCTTAGTTATTATTCCCAATTAAGAGAGGAATTAACTGAACATTAAATAGCCTGTCATAAAAGTACTGAACATTACAGCCATCTGCTCAGCCCACTTGCAGTAATATAAGAAAAATTAGGAAGTCCTGCTGATTCTGACTGCTTTAGTCATTGGTACTATGATGCTGAAATAACCAGTACTACTGGGGATGGTCACTGGCATGTTTTTAGGCAATGACCCAGTTAGGACAGCAGAATGAAATGGAAATGTGATGTATCAACAGTCATTATGGGAAGAAGAGCCTTACTCTGTGAACACTAGTTTTCCACATAGTTGCTAAATCTCGTGCTGGACATGTGTGGCGAATGCCATGGAGCACAGACACCGCAGTGTCCTCTCCTTGGATGCAGGAGCCCACATGTGCTGAGCAGCTGCTGTGTGCCCTGCCCTCTGCTGGGTGCTCTTACTGATACGACTGCACCTAGTGCTCATGACGATTCTGTGGGCAGTTGATCCTGACCAGAACGAAATTCAGGGAGGATAATTTTCTTGCCCCAAATTACACAGACAGTGAGTGATACAAAGGATTCATAGCCCACTCTGTCTAGCCCCAACACCCATGCCCCTTCATCATCTCTCAACGGGACCGTAGCAGCAGGTGACTGCGGATCTCTTTGCTGCCAGCTTCCTCTGGTCCCCTTCCATGCTCCTGGAGGCTTCTAAGTCATGTGTCTGCAAAGCTTAACAAACCTCTGCTGCTAAACACTGCCTCCAGCAGAAAGGCAAAATCCTCTGACAAACAACTGACTCCATTATTATTCCAGATATTTCCTTTACTAAGGGTGGGGAGTGCATTAAAAAAAAAGAAAAGCCCAACACAGAAAGTAAGGTAAATTCTGCTGAAATACACACGTATTCTTTCTTAATGAAGAGGCAGGGCTGTACACATTCTTATCTCTAGCAAAGAAATGTGGCAATGCTACAATACTGGGGAAAACATGACTCAGCATTTCCACTAATAAAATTATTTTGTATAAACTGGTGAAAAACTATGAGACTTTAAGAAACTTTTGCCATAACTTGGCTACAAGAAGGGAATATGATCCAACTGTTCTTTCATCAGGCGGCTTCTCTGCCTCAGCCTGCCCTCCAGTGGAGTGTCCCCCAGGGTGATGGCCATGGCCCCTTCTCCTTTTCCCCTGCATGCACTGTTTCTAGGGAACCTCATCCAAGCCCGTGTTCCAGCGCCACCTGTAAGATGTCTCCTACACATGCCTCTCTAGCCTGAGCTGCAGATCCCATGGTGCACCAGACACCTCCCAGGGGTGCCCCAAAGGCACTTCCAACTTATACCTGTCCAAAATGAAATCCATCGTCTGCCCCAGCTAGCCTGCCTTCCGTGTGCCCTCCCTTCTCCTGATTACCCAAATTAGAAAGCTCAGGGCTCTTTCTGCCTCACACTGTCTTCCAGTGGATACAAAGTCCAGTCAATCTCCCCAACACCGCTCGTGACTTTGCCTCCACTGCCACTCTCTGGGCAAGGCCCAGACTGGCCTGAACCCTTGCTGTAGTCTTCCTCCAATCTCTGCACACCAGACACCTGAGGCTTCCAGGTGCCACATCTGCTGAATCTGGTGACTCAGCACATGAAGTCAGAGGGTGTGTTCTGGGACATGAGAGAAACTGGAGAGGAAGGCAGGGCCTTGAAGGTCACTTTAAGGTGTCTGAGCTACTTCCTTAGCTCAGAATTATTTGGTCTGTGAAGGACAAAGACAGTAGCTCTGCTTTTTATTCCAAAGAAAGTATTATAGGCTCTGAAGGAATGTCCCTAAAGCAAGTCCCAGGAAAGTCACAGGTAACGGTACCATCAGTGGAAATGTTTTGAGCTTCTAAGGTGAGGCTTTTAAGGGGGAAGCCACTCATCTGGGTGGATAAGTGTGTGTGAAATTGTACTGTGTATGAAATATGTGCTAAACTCAACTGAATCCCAGCTGCCATCCTGAAAGACCTGATCCTGCTGTGAGGACAGTGCATCCCAGTCCCTCCCTGCAGATGGCATTTCCCTGCACATGAGCAGCTATGATCCACAAGCCTGAGCGCTGCCCGGTCTCTTCCACCCTGGGCAGGGGAGAGGCTGTTTTGATTCACTGCGTAACCTGTCACTCTGAAGGCGAAGGCAGGGGAACTCAATTTTACGAGCACTTGCTGTGCTGTGTGCACATTATGGGTCAGCTCACGTAGTCATTCGCCCCACCTGTGAAGTGGCCATTATTTGCCCATTTCACAAATAAGGAAACGGAGGCGCAGGGCAGTGAGATGGCACAGAGTTATGGGGATAAGGCTGGGAGTGGATCCCAGCCAGATGAATGCAGAGCCTGTACACTAGCCTGTGCTGCCTCTTGGCTTCTGGCCTCTGTCTTCACTTATTCATGCCGTTTTTGGGAAAGAGATATCTGTGTTAGTCCTTTATTCCAGGCATGGAGAAGTAACGGGAAGCCTGGAGAGCAAGAGGCTCCCAAGCCAGTCCTCTGCCCTTGGCAGCCAGTGTTCAAGAGACAGGCATGTGGACCTGGCTGGGGAAGAATGGAGCCCATTCTTACTCGACAGAGCTTTGGCCTGATCTCCACTTACCTTCTTGAGGGTTGGACATCCAGCTCTTCCATTTATTAACTAGGGGACTTTGGGCAAGACCCTTTCCTGCTTTCCACCAACACTGAAAGCAGATGATAAGCTCCCAACTTCTTACTGTGATTATTGAGTAGCATGGAGAAAATGAGCACTCAAAGTTCTGTCAGCTGTAAACTGGTGCACGAATGAAGATTTGCCAGGCACAGCCACTGGAAAGCATGCTATGTAGGAACCATGTTCCATGAGGGCAGCTCTAGAAACATCTGCTCCCAGGCATGGGCAGCTCCACAGCATTTGGCTTCTGCCACAGCAATATCCAGAGGAGCTGTACACAGACACTGCTGGGAATGAGCTGGCAGGGGCTCCTGCCAAACCTGTTTCCTTTTAAAACCCACCCAGAGATGATAAACTAAAACAACGGCAACTAGGAGACAGGTAACTAAAAGCAGGTGGTATTAACAGCTCAAGCATTACTCTTTTCATTTTTCAGTCATTACTTATGCTTTCTTCACATTACCGTAACACTAACAATTCAAACAATTAAAAAGCACCATAGCGGCAATTATAAAAGACCTGTTTAGCCTAGAAGACTATTTTACTGTGAAAGACATTTATTAGTAGTAAAATTATTTCAAGGCAATTTCTTCTTTAATTGTGCTACTGCAAATTTAAAACATGAAATGCACCCTAAGAATTAAGAAATCAAGTGGCAAAGTGTATATAAAATATATATTAATAATTTTAAAAATTCTGCATAAAAATCAGCACAAAGGCATTTAACATAACCGCCAACTCGATGAAACAGTCTTATGAAAACCAGTTTAAAATAAATGATTAAGCAGAGAATAGTGTTACCATTTGTATTTCTTCTGGGGATAATTCATCTTCACCTTTGCCATTCCCCCAGGTTCCCAATTCAGGTCGTGCTTTGGCCAAAGTATTTTCTGTTAAGAAAAAAAAAAAAAGAAAGAAAGAAAAAAACAAAAATAGAAGGCCAAATATTCTCTTAAAATAGGTTGGCTTAGGATACAGGCATATCAAAAACATGAGGTGGGCAGAAGCTTACAGCTTTGTCTATATTCGATCATATGGAGGCTAATAATCAGGCACTGCAGACATGATTCTTCTACAATGTTTAGGCTTTAAATTGTGTTTGTACATACATATGCTTGCATGAGTATGTGTGTATGTGATGGGCAGGGGGGACCTATGCACAGTTTTGATATTACACTGATTTCATCAATGGCTGCACACTAAATAGATATTCTTCAGAATTACTCTTAAAGCATATTTTACTTCAAAACACAGTCACATACTTATACACTTGTAAAGCCTGCAAAAGATATGTATATTTTTATTGTAAATATATACACACACACATATATACACAAAATTATATACCATCTCCCAATCCTATTCCTCTCCCAGAAAACTATTGCTTTGACATAGCCTCAGCGATGGCTTGTGGCTTGTGGTGGCTTGTTTGTCACAAAGATATCAATGATAATGTATTGTTCTAAAACTTGTATTTTATGATTTATCAGTATATCTTGGAGATCATCTTAGGTCAGTACACATAGATCCACTCCATTCTTTTAAACTGCTGCGTAATGTTCCATTGTGAGGATATGCTATTCTTTATGAAATCATAATTCCTTTGACAAACTTTCAGTTATTTCAGACTTTTCACTGATATAATGGTACCAGGTCCCAGTCCATGCTTTGTGTGCATGCTGGAGTATTGCTCTAGGGTAGATACCTGGGTGTCGAACTGCAGAATGGGAGTGTATAATCATTTTAATCTAGAAAACTTTTTGATCATGATCAGACAAACATGTGATGGATCCTTAATGAAGCATATCAATACCACAAGCTCCTAGAAAGGACTGCTGCCTCCCAGGATGATGTGAGAGTGGTCTATACATTCCATAATGGGAGGGTGGGGAGGTGGTTACAGAGGACTGCGATGGCAGGGATTGCTCCGTGGTAGAGACTGTAAGGAAGACACTGTGTCTGAGAGTCTCAGTAGTGTCTCTGGGATTGTCAATAGGTTGCCAAGGACTCAAAGGCAAATATTGCTACTGCTTCTTTCTTCCTCAATCTTAGTAAAATTTTCAAAGTTGATCTCAGCCCAATGAGATGGGCAAAAGTCCAGGGTCTTTTGATAGTGGGAAAGAACAAAATGAGAGCAACAATTTAGAGAAAGCAGATTAGGCAGACCATGCATGAAAGGTATGGTTATTGCTGGGAAAATGTCTTCACCAAAAAATCTTCATGTCATCCACGACTCAGTGCAGGTTTTTAAAAAAATGGCTGTTTTTGCCAGAACTGTCATTATAGGAAAACCTTGTATATAAAAGACTGGCTGAGAGCATCTAAAGAAACCAATCTGGTGTTTTTCTGAGATGACATTCTTCAGGTAGGAACATCTGTACTTATCATCCATCCCACTCACCCCTAAGAGCTCTCCGTCTCCTACTTGTCTTTGTTATGGCTCCTACTTCAAGCTTTAACTGATTTTATTTTTTTAAGGATAAGAACACCAAAATTAGAAACACAGAAACTTTGCTTATATCTGAACCAAGAATAAATGAACTCTGAGCTAGCACAGGAAAGTCTGGCTAACAGAACTCATACTCTACCACATGCTCAAGTTTGTGGCCATCCGATGCCTTCCTGACCTGCTGCCCCAACATTAGTCCGAAGCACAGCACTCAACGTGCCAGACCTCCGCCCGGACCGCCAGCATGCCCCAAAGCCAAGAGTCAAGTCCAGACTTCTTGTTCTGGCATTCAAGGCCTTATGTGGTCCGGCCCTACCCACCTTTCCAACCTTAAAACCCACTACTCCTCCCCTTTTCACCTGCTTCACTGACCACCCAGGGTTTTCTTTACTGACTATATTCCACACCAATCTCCATGTTTTCTGGCATCTGAACATTTGCTCATGCTATTTGCTCTGTCTACACTTTCTAAACTTCCTTTTTAACAGGTCCAGGCTCACTTCTCAATGCTACTTCCTCTTGAAGTCTCTCTGACCCTCTGCCTGAACTCTGCCCTCTGTTAGGGCACTACTTTCTCCCAGGGGCTGGAATCTTATCCTCCCTGTCAATTGTCACCCCCTGAGGGCAGGAACCACGATGCACTTGAGAAAAAAGATAAGTATTCACAAGTAATTATACCCATCTTTAATGCTAGGGGAAACTGATGTCGGGAAACAAATTACAAATAGGTACAAATTGCATCCTGGCTAAGCAGGAATGTTGAAGAAAAGGCCTAAACATCAGATACGGACAGACCACAGAGGTGCTTAATACTGCTAAGTGAAAAAGTAACAAAAGTAGTGCTTTTTTAAAAAAAAAAACAGGAGTATGACAGGTAAGAGACTATCCTCTGCATAGAACTATACCACCTAGTCCTATACCAAAACACTTTTGTTCTAAGTTATATCTCAAGTTTCAAAAGGAAAATGAAAAAAAGCTGAAAAACAAAGATAAATTAAAGGACATCATCCATATAGCCCAGGTAAAAAAAAAAAAATCTCGGCAACCATAGATAAATTTAGCAAAATGTCCATGAATGTGTTCCATCTGGCACAAAGGAAAGGGCAGATATATAGCCCTTTAAAGGAGGAGTAGCTGGGTGTAGGGGGAAAGCAATTTACCTTGGCAACAAGTTTGGCAGGAAGAGGAAACATCAAAGGCCTCAGAAAACAGGGCAGCACCTTGAAAGCTGGGCACAGGCCTCTCCCCTGTCGCCTCGGCCTGCTTCTCCCATCCCCTCCCCTCCCCTTCTCAGGGGATACATCCAGGCCTGTGGGTTTAAACTGCCTATTTCCTGTGACTCCCCAAGTCTCCAGCCCTGAGTTCTTCCTGCTCACTCCAACTGGCTCACTGTTTCCACCTGAATATCAAACAGGCATCCCAGACCTAACGTGTGTAGACCGGAATTTTGATCCTGTTCCCGTCCACTCCACCCAGTCTTGCTGCTGAACCGCACCTGCAGCAGTCTTCATCTCACGCAATGACACCACCTTCCACCCAGCTGCTCCCTCCCACAAGTCACTGCTGACTGCTCTCTGTCCCACACATCTCACATGCTACGTACTAGCTGAGTGCAGGCTCCAAACACGACCAGAGTTTGAGTGCTTCTCACCTCCATCTCTGTGGCTGCCTCCCCAATGGCAGACACCGTCACCATGAATCTTGACTGCTGCGAGCCATTACTGACACATCTATCTGCCTCTACTCCAACTCCTCAGAGCAGTTACAGGGGTTTTAGAACATGACCCAGACTGTCCCCAGCTTCAAAACCTCCAGGGGCTTCTCACTACACTTAGCTTCAAAGCCAAACTCTTTACTGAGGCCTGTAAGCTCCTGCAGGATCAGGCCTCTGCCTCTGTCTCTTCTCGTGCTGTTCTTGCTTGTGCCCTGATGAACAGGCCTTCCTCCTATGAGTGTGTATGTGAACACGTGCACTCAAATACACCCACCTCGTTTCTCCCTCCTAGGCCTTTTCACTGCCTAGTCCCTATGTCTGGAGAGTTTTCGCCTGTATGAGGGCTCCGATTTCTCCACATCCTCGCCAACCCTTGGTAAAACCTGTCTTTTTTTCATTCTAGCCATCCTAGAGGGTGTGACGTGGTATCTCCTGGTGGTTGTGATTTGCATTTCCATGAGTACTAATGATGCTGAGCATCTTTTCATATACTTATTGGCCATATGTATATCTTCCCTGGAGAAATCTCTATTCAGATCTTTTGCCCATTCTTCAATTGGGTTATCTTTTTATTATTGAGTTGTAAACGTTTTCTATATTGTGGATATAAGTCCCTTAGATGTACGATTTGTAAATATTTTCTCTAATTCTATGAATTGTTTTTTCATTTTGTTGATGGTGTCCTTTGAAGCACAGAAGTTTTTAACCCCAATTACTACCATTTACCCTGAAAGATAGGTATCATCACCCCCATTTTTAAAAAGCACAGACTGGTGGCCAGAAGTGCCAGTAAGTGCTGGAGCTGGGATCTAGACTGCTTCTAAAGGAGTACTCTGCATTATACCATTTGTCTTCTGCGTGCTGGTCGAAGCTAAACTGAAGAGTTCTACCTTAATATCGGGAGGGCTGGTTTAGTTAGGAGATAACCTTGCAATTATAAAGTATCCACATACTGACTTTAAGATAAAAATATAAATCATGAAGAACAGCATTCTTTCACTCTGACTACTTACTTTCTAACACCCAGAGGTATTAGGTTCTTTTTACATCTGGAAACACTTGCACAGCAACAAAAAGCAATCAGTGTTCCAAAGACTCTTCATTCACTCGTGTTTTTCCTCAAATATTCAATGAGTGCCTCTTATGTGCCAGGCATTGTTCTAGGTGCCAGTGTTACAGGTGTGAATAAAATGCAGAAATTCCTGTCCTCATGGAACTTATATCTTAGCAGAGGAGACAGATAATAAAGTATACAAATGAGTAAAACATATAGAATGTTAGTGGTAAGTGCTAGGGAGAAAGAAAGCAGGGCAGACAGATACAAAGTGTCGGGAAGGCTCAGTCCTTTATCTTCTTCTATCCACCCGTATTCCTTGGGGATCCCAGCCTGTTTCATGGGGTCAATACTATCTACCCCACACTGAATTCCTGACCTAACCAGCCCCCAAGAGTCTTCCTCGGTTCAGTCAAGGGCAGCTCCTTCCTTCCAGGTGCCAAAAATATGACAGCCCTCCTTGACCCCTCCTTCTCATGCCCCACATACGGGAAGCAAATTCTTTGGCTCTGCTTTCAAAAGATACCCAGAATTCCACCACTTCTCTCTCACCCCCCTGCAAACATGCTTGGTGCATGATGGAGTTTTAATGTGTTGTCCCCTCCAAAACTCATGTGGAAATTTGATCCCCAATGTGGCAGTGTTGGAAACTGATTGAGTCATGGGGGCAGATCCCTCATGAATGGATTAATGCTCTCCCCGGGAGAGGGGGGATTAATAAGTGAGTTCTCACTCTATTAGTTCCTGCAAGAGCTTGTTGCTTAAAAAGACCCTGGCACCTTCTCTCTCTCTCTTGCTTCCTCTCGCCATGTGATCTGCTTGTACACGCTGGCTGCCTGCCATGATCTACTTGTAGCCACCGGCTGCCTGCCGCTTTCCACCATGAGTAGAAGCAGTCTGAGGCCCGTGCCAGATGCAGCTGTCCCAGAATCGTAAGCCAAATAAACCTCTCTTCTTTATAAATTACCCAGTCTCAGGTATTTCTGTTATAGCAACACAAAACGGACTAAAACAGTGCAGTCCACCGTTATCTTGTTTCTTGGTGACTTTAGTAACCTCCTAACTGCCCCTATTTCTCTCCTTGCTCCCATAACAACCTATTTCGACAGAGCAACCAGAGGGATCCTTCTAACACATAGTCAGGTGTGACAGTCCTCTGTGCAAATCTGCCCATAGCTTCCCATCTCACTCAGAGTAAAAGCCACAGTCCTCCCATGGCCTGTAGGGACCCCAGGACCCAGTGGCCTGGTCCCTCCCCATCTTTGTGTCCTTCTGCTCTCACCCTGCTCTCTGGCCTCCAGGATGCTCAGCAGCCATTCCAGGCTCACTCCTGTCCTAGGGCCTCTGCACTGCTTGTTCCTTCTGCCTGGAATACTCTTCCCCCCAGCGGCCACGTGGTTCACTCCCTTACTTCCCTCAGGTCTTTACTGAATATCAAGGTCTCCAACCTCTGTGACAGGCCATATCTCTCATGTTACCACAGACCTCTCTTTCAGGGCACATATCATAATTTTACAGCATCTGTATAATTATTTAACATGTTTCCCCACTGGATGTAAGAAGAAGTGCCTATTTTCTACTCACTGCTGTATCCCTAGCACTTAGCACAGTGCCTGGCACAACAGTGTTCAGTGTGGGCTTGGCAAGGGCAGGACTTGTGCAAGGGCAGACCGGCTAAATATCTTCCTATGAGGTTTATCTAGGCCCCAAGAATCTGTAGCTTCTCTCCACTCTCAGCGGCCCTAACAATATTTCTTTTCTTTCTTTTTTCTTTTTTGTGGTGGTGGCTGGCTGGTATAGGCATGGAACCCTTGACTTGGTGTTATAAGCACCACCCCCTAAACAACGTAGCTAACTGACCAGCCCAGCCCTAACAATATTTCTTGAGTGAATGAATGAATGAATGTATATGCTATATCTGACATGAGTAAATTTAGTTACAATGCTCCTACATATTGTCTTCTGAGAAGCAGGGCCCATTACTTCGTGGGTGATATTGGGGTTTTGCCTCATTAGGGACAGGCGGGAACAGGAGCCATGCAGAGCTCCTGGCCTCTGGGATCACAGCAGCCGCCAGAAAAATGGGTTCAGGCTCTGCACACAGAATGACCCACATGGAATCCTAGTGCCGTCCCTTCCTTGTTGTTTGACTTTGAACAGGTCACATAATTTCTTCAAACCTCTGTTTCCTCAAATATAAAATGCTGACAAAACATCCTTCAAAAACCCCAATACGAAGCAGATCTGTTAACACACCCAGCATGTACCCAGCACGTACCCAGCACAATGAAGGGGTGCCATAAAGTTCGTTTCCTTGCAGGTCCCTTCAAAAACTGTATTCAACTACAGAAAGGACCTCTGGCATCTTTCAGGCTAGTAAAGCCACTATGCATACTGAATTCCCTTGCTTGTAAAATGCAGAGGACTGAATTACATGGAGAAGCAGCTTGTGGAACGTGGGCTCCAAATTCAAACAGACCCATGTATAAATTCTGGGTCCACCGTTTATGAGCTGTTAACTCGGACAAGTTACCCAGCCTTCTGAGACTTTCAGATGACTAATTTGAAGAAAAGAGGGTCATGAAACCCACAGAGGGCAGCTGTAAGGATGGTGATAATGGCTGTGAAGTGTTCAGGACCGTGCCTAGCATCCAGAGGACAGGAGTGAGCAAGAGCCATCGTGAGACTGCAGAAGAGGATGCTGAAGACGACTCTCAGGCCTCTCCTGGCTTCAGCACACCATTGCCCTGTGATTCATGAAAGCAAAACCCTGCTCTGCTACCCCTCTGAGATACAGCAAACTAAGAGGCATTTCTTATACAAGGGGAGCCACATTGGCTGGACACACAGATGGAAGACATCCGTGACATTATGTATGTTTCCCTATGTTTTAAGGAGACCCCATATTTCTTCAGCATCCACTGTGTGTCAGGAACTGGTGTGTGTCATGGGCCATCTAGTACCTGTGATGACAGCAAGCATTTAACCCAGTCTTGCATTTTGTCCCCTTGGCTCAACTGGCTGTGGAAGGCTGCTGAGACCATGTACTCCCCCCTGACGCAGGCAGCCAGCTCCATGCCAGCTTGGTGCTGACAGCACATGGCCCCACCACCGGAGAGGCAGCACAACCTCCCCTGAGACTGGCATGTATGACTCCTTGAACAGAGTTCCGATATTTCCTCTTGAGTCTGAGGCTTCAGTCCCCACACCATTGGTGCACAGCTCGCACAGCTCCAGCAGCCCCTTTCTCCTGGACCCTGCCAGTCTCCAGGTGATTGCATGAATCCTTCCACCCGCCTCCATAGCAGTCAGTAAGATCCAACTGTCACAGACAAAAGGAGGCCCCCTCTGTGCCTCCTTTGCTTTATGCAAATACAAATACCACAACATGTCTGGGTCTGTGTTCCTTTTTTCTACTTTGTATTCTTGCCTATATATCATAAGAAAGAAACAAAAGGAAAGATTTTTATTTTAATTCATACCTGGATATTCTTCAGTGACAGGTTTTTCTTCAGAGTCTTTTGAAGGATCCTGTGAAACTTTCTCAGAAGATGTGGATTCTCTTGTCTTTGTATTTGGTTCTGGTTCCAGCTTAGATCTAAAAATAAATTATTAGCAGTCATCTAATTTAATTCCACAACAGGATTCCTTTTTGACAACAGAGGGGAGTCATATGTGCCTCCTGCACTTCTGCTCTGTGTCCCTCTTCTGGTTCAGTGGCCTTCTGGACACACTTCTACTCACTTATCACAGGTGCTGACATTCCTGCCTTCAGGCTCTGCATTCCCAGCCACAGCACAGTAACCAGCATGCAGAGTGGGTTGTGCAGTTGGTGAGTACTAAACACACCCCACAGAATGATACCATGTCAACACATGGTCAGTGAAGGCTGACCATCCCATGGTCGACAAACCCAGGAAACTGGATTTACACTAATCTAATGGTTCTACACTAATGCCAAAGTATTGATGAATATACACGCCTCCCCGACCCCCCCCCCCATTATAAGAAATACTTTAAAATAGTTTAACTCTGGAAGCACAGCCCTTAAATATCCCCTTGATGGAAGTGGCTTGTTTCAGGAGCCGAGGCCACTGCACTTGGCATTCTCCTCACCTCCTTCCCACCAGGCTCTTCCCAAGGCACAGTCTTCTTTTCCATGTAGTCTCTGACTTTCCTATCTAAGAAAGGACCCTCCCCTTCCTCTGCAGCAGACACCAGGGCCTGTCCTTCCCTTGCTGACTTATTTGCTGACTGTTGGCCTCGCCCCACTAGAGTGCACATTCTTTGAGAGCAGGTCTCTGCCTCCCTGAGTCCTGTTTGCTGCTTAACCCAAGATCCTAGATAGTGCCTGAGATTCAATGTTTAAAAGATACACGTTGAGGGGCTGGCCCGGTGGCGCACTGCTACAGTGCGCCGCTTGGGAGCACGGTGGCGCTCCCGCCGAGGGTTCGGATCCCACATACAGACCGGTTCCCGCTCACTGGCTGAGCGAGGCGCGGGGGCAACACCGAGGGTTGCGATCCCGTTGCCGGTCCCCGGTCCGGTACGGGGGCGACACTGAGGGTTGCGATCCGTTGCCGGACACGGAAAAAAGACAAAAAAAAAAAAAAAGATACACGTTGAATGAATGAATGCTTTATAAATACCAGTAAATGGCTAATAAGAGAAAAAATTTGGTTATGAAACAAGCCTTGTAATAGCTTTACTAAAATCTACGTAACACTATGGAAATTACAGGCAGAGTGCTAAAAAGATCAACGATAAATTCCACCTTGTTAGAGACTATAAATAAAAGAACAATGTAAATACATATTAGGATATTACTAATGCCAGCTAACATTTATTGAGGGCTTATTATGTACTGGATGTTTTTCTAAGTACTTTATATGGATAAATTTAATTCCAAAACATCCCTATAAGGTAGGCACTAGTATTAACGACCTTTTCACAAAGGAAGAAACAGAGGTATATGGAAGTTAGGAAACTTGCCCAGGTCACACAGTTAGCAAGTGACTGGGCTGGGATGTGACCTCAGGGAACCCAACTCTGGAGTCTATGTGCTTAACTGCTCTACATACTGTCTTCTACCCATCAAGTTCATGAGAAAGGACTTCTGTGGCAAATAAGTCTGAGAAAGTGAGTTAAAGCTAGACAGGTGTTTCACTATACAAATTTTCAGGGCCTTTAATATGCTAAAATACTTTCTGAATTTCCAAAAAAGGATATCTTTTCCAAATAACTTGACTGCAGAGACCCTCTTCATAGAGTTGTTTCAAGACTGGTGTTCCAAGAAAGGCTGCTTGGGAAATGCTCCTTTACAACATTAACAAAAGAATTTTCAAAAGTAACTATAATATCAATCTTTCTCAATGTTCTGGATACTATGGCTGAGTAACAAAACTTAATGTCTCGAATGAATAAGAATCGTTTACTACCTGACAGTGTTTCTGGGGTCAGGAATTTGGGAGCAGATTGGCTGTGCAATTCCAGCTTGGGGTTCCTCATGAGGGTCATGGGACTGCGTCATCTGAAGGGCTGATGGGGGCTGCAGGATTCACCCACCTGGCTGGCAGGTTGGTGCTTGCTGGGAGCCTCCCTTCCTCTTCATGAGACTACGTGAGTGTGTTACTGGTAGTCTCAGAGACTATGGAAGAAACTTCAATGCCTTTCATGACCCAGCCCCAGAAGTCATACACCGTCACTTCTGTCATAGTCTACTGCCCAAAGCAGTTGCAATGGTCTGCTCAGGCTCAAAGGGAAGGAGCACAGACCCCCACCTCTCCAGCTCAATGGAGCAGTGATATCACGTTTTGAGAAGAGCACATGGGATGGAATATATTTGGGTGCAGCCATCTTTGGAAAATACAATCTGCTATTCCAAGTATCACAAATATACACAAAGATAAAGTCCCAAAGATATTCACCGCAGCATTGCTAAACAAACATTAGACTCTAGTCAAGCAAGCTGAAGTATTTAGGTGGAAGTGTATTGCTTGCAATTTACTTTGAATACATTTTTAAAAGAAGCTAAATGAATGTATACAACAACAGACAGGTAAAAGAAGCACAGTAAAATGTAAATGGTAAAATCTAGGTGGTAGATATATGGGTGTTCACTGCGAAATCCAACTTTGCTATATGTTTGAAAATGTTTAAAACAAAATGGATGGAGGTAGAGAAGAACAGCTAGAAAAACAAGAAAAAACAAAGTGTAGTATTAGGGCATAAAAAGGTTGACAGGCCAATGAAACAGAACAGATAATTCAAAAATAGACTCAATTGCATTTAGATGTTTAGTATAATAAAGGCTTAATAAAAGGCACTGGGATAGCTAGGTAGTTATATGGAAAAAGGATAAACACATTTCCTTTCCTTACACTGTACACCAAGATAAATTCCAAATGCATCAGAGATACACATGTAAAAAAATGAACCATACACCTGAGAAAAAAGACATGGGTGAATTCTTCTATAACTTAGGAATGAAAAATAACTTCATTGTGACTCAAAATCTGGAAGTAAAAAAGGAAAAGACTGATAAATTTAACTACATAGAAATTATGTAGTGGCTGGCCAGTAGGGGGATCCGAACCCTTTGACCATACGTAGTGTTGTAACACTGCTCTAACCAACTGAACCAAATGGCCAGCCATTAAAATATACATTTTTTTACATGTGAAAATCACCATAAGTGTTGGGGGATGGTGATAGTGGGGGAGGCTGTGTGTATGCAGGAACAGGGGGTGTGTGGGAACTATGTACTTTCTGCTCAGTTTTGCTGTGAACCCCAAACTACTCTAAAAAATCAAGTCCAGGCTGATCCAAAGGCAGTGAGTTATCTCAACTGATTGTTCACAGTCAGTTACAGATTAAACTCCTTGTTCTACTCTTTACCCCTTACCGCTACTGCACTTGACTAGTTTAAAAAAAAAAAAAAAATCAAGTCTATTAAAAAGCAAAAAACAAACAAGAAAAACACCATAAGTAACATTAAAAGAAGAAAAAGACCAACAACCCTATAGTAAATTAGGCAAGAGAGTTCACAGAAAAAAAAAATGCAAATGGCTTTTAGACATATGAAAAGATGCTCAATCTTCCTCATAATAATGGATATTAAAAACCACACCGAGACATCACTTAAATGCCTGTTGGGACTGGCAAAAATACCCAACTGTGCAGACATACTGTGTGCATGGAGAAGCTGACTCTTTCATATACCAATGGTGAGAGTACCAAGTGGTGTAGCTCCCTCCCATAGAGAGGAATTTGATAATATCTAAAAAGTTTACATATGTATTTACTCTAAGCCAGCATACCGTTTCTAGGAACCTATTCCAAAGATATAGCAATAGTATGAAAAGATATGCAGAAGGTTACTCACTGCAGAAACTTTGTGGTTCAATTTTAATATGGCAAAAGCCTAGAAACAATCTATATATGTCCATCAATATAGAACCAGTTGAATAAACTCTGGGTACTATGGAGCCATAAAAAGGAATGAAGAATATCTTTACATACTGCTATGGAGCAATCAGACAAGGTGGAGAAAAATATACAAAGGGATCTTCTTTAATGGGATAAAGCCATCTACAATACCTACAGCTAGCATCATACTTTATAGTGAAAGACTAAATGCTTTTCCTTAAGATGAGGAAAAAGGTAAGGATACAGTAGACCTGAACAAGAACAGAGGAAGAGCGAATTACAAAATCATTTTATGAGGCCGGTATTACCCTGATTTGGAAAACCGATGACGATATTACAAGAAAACAAAATTTGACAAATAACTTCATGGACAGAAAAGGAAACATCCTTAATATAAGCAAACTGAACTTAACAATATATAAAAGACAATAATGCATCATGACCAAATGGGGTTTACCCCAGAAATGCAAAGTTGTTTTAACATTTGAAAATCAGTGTAATACACAACATGATCATCTCATTAGATGCAGAAATAGCATTTGAAAAATTCAAGATCCCTTCATGATAAAAACTTGGAGCAAACTAGGAACATGAGGTGTATAGTAAAGGGTTGACTCAGCAGGTCTGTGGTGTTCAAACTCAGCACATTCCAAGGAAAAAACAAACCCTTGACTAGCACCTGGAAGATACCCTCTAAGCTCTTGGAATATCCTGCCTGATAAGAGTATCTCTGTACACCTGGGGCCATTCCAAGTAGTTTACGTAACAATGCGATTTATGATGGGGCTTATCAGTTGGACCTCTGTTTGAGAGTCCCAGTCGCTCCACATCCCCCCCCCACATCTGTCATTTTTCATCTAATCATTCTAATAAGCGTGAAATGGTATTTTGTGATTTTTATTTATTTTATCATAAAACAATCATACACAGAAAAGTTTGAAGTATAATACAAAGAACACTTTTCTCTCAGTCACTGGAGAGTAAGTTGCCAAACTGATGCCCCTTCACCTCTGAATACTTTAGTATTTCCTAAAATCAAGAGCATTCTTTGATATATCCAGAACATAATCATCGAAATCAGGAAATTCACATCAATACATTACTTTCATGTTTTTCTCAGATCCCATTCTCTTTTGACCAGTCATCTCAATAATATCCTTTACAACAAAA